TCTCTTAAAAATGCCTGGTCTTAAGAAGGCGAGTTTTTTGTCTTTCTCTGTCTCCATAGTGAATTGGATAAAAGGCTACCGGTTGTCCAGATGCTGTAAGAAGTTATCCACGTTTTCGCGATCCAGGATGGTAAAGGTATCGTCTTAGTAGCGTTTCCAGATCCTTAGCTCGAAGGATGATGTAGTTATGGTCTGTTCTTCGAAACTCTCCATGTAGAGGTTAGCAATAACAGCGGAAACCGGACTCCCCATGGCGGCGCCGTCTTTTTGTTCGTAAATCGATCCGTTATACTGGAAGTATGTGGATCTCAATACGAAGGTCAAAAGGTCAGCGATCTGTGCATGTGTTAGCGTGGTGCGGTCTGCAAAGCCTTGGGTCGTTTTCGAGTTGCTGCAGTGCGGCTTGTACAGCGGCGTCAATAGGAACGTTGGTAAACTGATTCTACGTCGAAAGATACCATGATCTCGTTGTCTAGGATCGTTGCATTGCTGACGGTGGATATGAAGTGGGCTGAGTTGATCACCGTTTATTCTGACTTTCCTGTTAAAGGAGACAAGATGTTGGCTAAGTAAGCGGATAAATCATATGCAAAGGTGTTTACGCACGACACAATAGGTCTTAGCGGTACATCGGCCTTATGGATCTTCGGTAAACAGTAGATTCTAGGCGGCTGTTTATGTCGGGGTCTGATCTTGTTGTAGACGACCTCTGATAGATATCTAGTAATTCGTCAGAGCGATTGAAGGGCTAACGCTCGAAACGTCAGCTTTTTTACCCTTTACGGTGGCTAATTTACGTTTTCAACTCAGTTGTTAACACTAAATTACCTGCCATACTCTCCCACCGACGCAGCACAACAGTTTCTCTAGAAACTTACCCCTTTATTCATCTGATAGATTTCCGCTTCGCTTTAAGGTAAACAGCTTTTCCGACAACTTGCGGGTCAGACGGTCTGTCGGGTCTCTGTTGAGGAGCTGGTAATAAGCGTAGACATCTTAGCTCGGTAGGTGTCGGTATCCATGACTATGCTAGCGCGCCTTTTGTCTGCTGGGAGAACCTTGATGGACTCGTCTTCTTTCAGGCTTTTAAGCGCATCTTGTATCTCCTTCGTAATGTTAGGCTCTGGTGGTTATGTTTTCGTAAAAAAAGGAGCAAATCACCGAGTGAAACAATAAGGATCGAAAAGCAACAATCAGAGCTGTTGAAAAAACAACTAAACACAGCAGAGCATCATGCTCTATAAGATCACACATGACCAGTTGACCTCATCGCCTGAAGAAGACTACCAGTATGCAGTCGTAACGTCGCGATGTACATCACACGTGACTACATCGTGAGATAAACGAAAAAACTTAGCTATTATAGGTAATTTAGTGTTAACAACGGAGTTGAAAACATAAATTGACCGCCGTAAAGAGTTAAAAGGCTGACGTTTCGAGCGTTAGCCCTTTGTCAGAGCGATTGGAAACAAACAGAAAACATCTCGGTATATATATAATAAATAAATTATTTCACAGTTCGCTTGTACGATTTTTATTCACTCGTTGTGAATAAAAATTGTACGCGCTCACCAACCGTGGAATAACCTATAAGATTTCAATATGTAAGCTTCAATAGCTTCTGTCATTCTTGCTTCTTCTGGTAACACGATAATGTGGTTTTCCTTACTTGTATTGGTCATCTCATCGATGGTATTTAATTTGGTGACATTTTCGTGGCTTCTCGACCATCTAAAATCGGCCATATGTTGTAAGAGGTTATCACAACCTCCTTGCCAAGAAAAACGATGATGCCATTTCAGTTCTTGATTTGGGTAGTCTCCATTCATCTAGTCTGAATTTGTGCAATGATATTTCTTTCATCGGATAAATAGTGACATCATCATTTGCTTTTAATTAAGAGTTAACATTTTCTATTTGTCATTCGCAGCGTTGATGTTTTTGTCTGTTTTGCGCTTTAATCAGTAAATCTCTCTCATTACTGGGATACCTGTGGTAGCCCAGTCATAAAATGCCTTTGTTTTTTTGTCGTCTTTTTTTTTTTTTTTTTTTCCTCCGCCACAAAATGGAAAAATTGCGCAATAGTACCCAGAGGTCATTGGGCCCTCAACACCATGACAACTAACTGTGATCCAATGAGGTGTTCACATGCTGATCACGCGTGCTATCTTGATGATGATTGAGGTTGTCATGCACGGACAGGGCCGGGTCACATGACGAACACGAGATTTTTGCCCATAAAACTATTTTGTCAGTCGTTTTGTATTTCAATGTAATTGGATTACGATCATCTGGAGCATTATGGGGCAAACGCTCAAAATACTTATAGACGCATACACAAGCCGTATTGTTCGCGGCCAATCCACACAAAAAGATGTTATTGAGCGGTAATTTTGGATCGGACAGAATCGTGAACGCTTGAAAGCCATGAAAGCATTGAATGCCTTGTATGTCTTGTATGCCAAGTTTGCCAATGTCTTAGTTGAAAACGTAAACTCGT